TAACTGTCACATGTTCTGTGGATTTCTGTGATGACATTTTTATCTATCACAGGTGCACAGTGAAAGAATGTACTCACTATGTACTCCTATGTCATTTGCCTGCTAATTTTCTGAGTCCTTTCTCCTTTACATTGGCAAATTCAGTATTCTTGAGCTGGTACAGCATGATTTTAAGGGACAGGATTATTACTTGCCCTGCAAATAACACCGCAATTTTGCTAATGGTCTATAATTCAATGAAGCAGTGTGCAAAGCACGGGTATGAACAATAACACTTAAACACGCCACCTGGGGGGTACAACGTGTTCTCTAGAACAGAGGCCTTTCGAAAAAGGTAGGCAAAACTTTGCAGAATTTTGTCCTACCCAACTGTAGTTCCTTGTTTTTAGAGGTGGCTTGAGCCATCTGCCACTTTTATTGACTTCAGTGGGAGCCAGTGTATTCATCGCTAACTTGAGCACTGTATATGTCCACAGGAACCATGTAACAAAACCAAGTTTATTGTTTGATGCATACAGAGCTTTGTTTCGTTAGAAGTGATAAGAAATGTGTGTTGAAACAAGGCAGTATGGATGCACAATCTGTTTGATATTTTAAAAATGCCTTGACAGAATAGCATTTTTTACCATATATAGTTGGGTGCATATTTGGAGAATAATGGATGATGGTATGATCATGTTAAGTTATATAATACATCTGTTTCTTCTGGGGGTTTGTTTGTTTGTGCTTTGTGTTTCTTTGGCTTTGTTCTGTTTTTAAGACACCCAGGGTAGAGGAAGGGCAATGAATTTAGAGAGAAAAGGTGTTCAGGACATACAGTATGAGTGGGAACTCTTTGGAATTGAATTTATCTTTTAATTCTGTGCACACAGCAGCTACACATTCCATTGTGATCCATGAGAAGACTATAGAACATTTATATGATGGGAGTGCTGGACACACACTAACAGTGTAAGCAGTGCTGAGGGCTATCATACTTGAAAGTACTCTCCAAATGAGTTAGTGTGTTGCCAGAGATTTGAGAGCACCAGAGCCACACTTTTACTGTCTCCAGCCCAGCAGTTTTGCTGAAAAACCATCCTGCTGTGAAATGCTGGAGAACTCTATGCCGCCAGTGTTCCCAGAGGGATACACTTCCAACAGATGCCAGGATACCGGGAATGAGAAATGTATAAAAGACAGATGAAAATTATATAACCTGTTCCTTTTGAAGAAATCCTTCATATTCCTATGTGCACAATAAGCTTCTTTAATGAAAGGCTGTGACAGTGATGAATAGTTTTTCATTCTTCTTATCTTTACAGAGACTTCTTTAGTATTAAAATAAAAGGCTGTTTTTAGGAAAGGGGAAGATAAAAACTGCATCTAGGGTAACAGATTGCCAGTTGCCTCTGTAATGAAAATAATTTTTAAGTTTTTTAGCACATGAGCCAATAAGCAGAACGGGAGAGGGTTAAGTGCTGTAAGCCAAAAAGCTGTACAGTTGGAATGAAGGAGGACACTGCAATAACAGTTATGCAGGTGACAAACAGAAACCAGGTATTGTATGTTTAATGATGCTCCAGAAACTACATAAGAGGAAACTTTGAAGTAAGAAACCATTAATCTAGGAATTTTAATTGAGCAGATGAACATGGTGCTTTATGAGGGATTCCTGAGCTGGCAAGATCCAAGGTGTCCTTACCTGCTTTCTATTCTTTTGTTTGAAATGTGATGTGGTTTTTAAAGATACAACTCTTCCTGGTACCAGTATTGGGCTGGGTGTTGGGCTTCAGTGGCACGCTGGTTTCTGTGTCTGTGATAATGTCTGTACCTCGTGCTGCCAGGTGCATTGAAAGCAATACTCAGATGCCTGTATTTCTTCCAGATCTCTGTGCCTCGTGTTTCCAGCTCACTGATTCTCCGTGCTACCCCATCAGTGCCTCACTTAGACCCTCGTACTCATGAGTAAGAAGCACAAAGCTCTTCTCACTGACTAGCCACAGTTTTCCATAGCTCTCACAACGTGCGGGTATGGCCCCGAAAGGGCACTCTGGTGATCTTCAATTCTCTCATGAAATTTTGATTGATGCTAATGGATCACATGTATGTGGTAGCCCTGCTAAAATCAGTGATAGGTTAGGCAGCTATTGTTCTTGTACTGGCAGTTTCTGCCAGCATGTCTGAACCCCTTGTGTAATGAATTGAATGGTTTGAGGCTGCAGCTTTCTGGGGATCACCTAGGCTGCAGATGCAAAATACAGTATATTAAATCACTTCTCGATTGTGCTTGAGGGGTGTTCAGTCCAAAATAGATGGCTGAGAGGGAACTTAAAGCAGACATCTGCCCCAAGCTACTGCAGAAATCATGCTTTTCCTCATAGTCACGGCAGTACCATAACAACTGGGTTGGTGCTTGAGTTGAACACTGACGGGTGCCTTGGTTGTCTGATGGAATAACACTTTGATGTTTCAGGGGCAAAAAAAGGTTTCCTTTCTGCTGCTACTCTTCTGTACTGTACTAAGCTAGCTGATGTTACTTCACTGAGAAAGAAAAAAGTTCTTTCCAGACCCACACTAAAATTGAATCTTGTGTATGGGACAAGCTGAGGTGTTTGTATGAACAGGTGTTCAGAGGATGTAGATGACTTGATTTATTTCATCCTTTTCAAAATCCATCCATTCATTTTTACATATTTAGATTGATTTTTCTGTTAGGCTTATAAAATAATAAACAATTAAAAGCACAGATTCCAAACAACCTGTCAAAATGACCACAGAAATGACAAATTCCTATGGAGTAAGTAACAGAAATGGAGCCTCTTCAGCCCCAGAGCAGGCTCATTTGATACAGTGACCTTTTCAAAAAGTTTTTTTCTTTCATATGAAATGTACTTTTTTTCATTTCCAGGGGAGAGAGAAACGACAAGGGAAAACTAATGAAATATTTTATTTTTCTTTAATTAATGTCTATATAATTTTTATCTATATAAAGCAAAACTAAATTTAAGGGGCCTTAGTTCTCAATTTGATATTTCAGATTGACAATCTAATTTTACTTTAAATGTATTTCTTTTAAACGTGGTTTTAAAAGTACATACCATAAAAGGTCTTATTTCTGAAACTAGCTAGTCAGTCACATGCCTTCAAATATGCATTATTCAAAACACCTACAGCTGAGTGTGTAACTTAGGCAACCTGGCCTGATATTGAATAATGCAGTCAGTGCCGTGACATTCGGAAAGATGTCTGCACCCAGTAAATGCTATTTTTATGTGTGTTGTCTTGTTTCTTGAGGGATTGTGGAACTAGACTGCATATGATATTTTTTTTTCCAGAAACTATATGATTTGGATATGTGTTTATGTATTTCTTGATTGCTTTTTTTCTTTTCCTCTGCCTTTGTTAATCATCTCAATACATGTTTAAAGCCTACCATTAATTGCTATTGAAATGCATTTAATTTGAAGGAAAAGTTTCTGCTATTTAAGTCTCTTGTCAGGAAACCAAGTGTTAGAGTTGTTTGGTTTCTTATTTCCGAGGCTGTTTAATGGCAGCGTAAATATTCAGCCTGACTCTAAATAGGTAATTAAAGCCAAGTCTTGGCCAGATGTTCCCCTTTGTTGCCTGGCCTGGAGCTGAGGGAAGAGCAGGAAGCGGCAATCCCAGTGCACGCTGTCCCACTGCACACTGTCCTCGGGTTTTGGTAAATTGTGGGTGATCCCCACGTTACTGAGTGTCCCAGGGAACCAGCTTACAGCTGATGTGAACAGTGGAATGAGCTGCTGTTCCACCGTGCTCCTTCCCTCTCTCCTCCTCAACAGTTTAGAAAATCCCTTTGGGCTGCTGATTTTGGGAGGTGAAGAACTGAGTTCAGCTTTTTCCCTGGATGAGACACTTTCAGGGAGAGAGAGAGTCTTCTTAGTGTATACAGGGTTGGTGAAGGCCTTGGAGAGGAGTCAGGTGTGCAGATGTGAAGGAGTTTAGTGCTTTAACTTTTGTGCTACACCTTCTGTCCTCAGAGGTAATAAAACTTACAGAGAACAGAGCAAATGCCATGAGAGCAAGAAACCAGAAACAGAGGGAGGTGCTGAGTAAGCACCTGCAGCATCTGGGGTTTTATTTCAAAATTCCCCAATCTCCAGGGGTTTCACAGGGATCCTGCCTTGTGTGAGCAACAGCTTTGGTGAGAGGACTTGGGAGAACTTTGGGTGGATTTTACACTGCAGTGAATGCCAGTGACCTCCTGAGCCTAGGAATTATCAAGGAACTGAGGCTGTGCTTGGAGTTAATGCCTTTATTTATTTCACATGAACTGCTGGCAGGGCTTTCAAAATGTGACTGGCTGCTGAGGCTGGAAAGCAAAGGAGATTTAGACAATGAAGAACGGGAGGAAACCAGGAGAACCCTTTCTCTGGCTCCAGGATTATGCATGGGAAGATACCAGCCTTATTTTTATTCTTGTGTTTGTAATGGCCTCTTACATAGTTTGGAAAAGTCTTAAACTTAATCATGGATCAAGTGACAGCAGGGGTGTTTCTCTCCCAGGTCCTGGAGGCAATTAGCAAAAAATCACTGGAAACATGAGGTTCTGGCCTGATGGCACCGCAGAACCACGTGGAATAAAAAGAAGACAAATAAAAAGAATCCCATGTTGTAAAAGTCACCCCGTAATTCATGATGCCGAGGGACCTATTAAAGTCTGACTGTTCGGGTTACCTCTACCTACACATCCCTGGCAACCCGACGGCAAGCAGCCGGTGCAACCTTTGCAGGTATCCTCACGGCTCCGTCTCCCGCAGGATCCCAGCACCCTTTCCCGGCGCCCAGGACGAAGGCGGGGCCGCGGAGAGGGGTCTCTTTCCATAGCTGTCCCCGCGGAGGAATTTCTGCTTCAGCAGCCGCGAGACCCGCATCTGGGGCTGGGCTGTCCGTCCCTCGGAGCCGCCCCCGCCGGTCCCTTGTGCGGCTGCGGGGAGGGAGGGGCGGTGCGGCCCCGCAGCCGGCGCGGGAAGGCGTCAGCGCCGGGCCGGGCGCGCAGCCCTCCCCTGGCTCCGCACCGCCCGCAGGAAGGCGCAGCGGGGTGGGGACGGGAGGAAGGAGCGGAGCCTCCCCCGGGCTGGGCAGCGCGGCTCCAGCCCCTGCCATGTCGGAGGCGGAGAGCGGAGCTGCAGGTAAGGGGGAGCGGCGGCGCTGCCCGCTCTCGCTCCGCCGGGCCCCGCCGCAATGCAGGAGCGCTGCAGCCCGGCGCGGCCCCGGCCCATCGGGGGAAGCGGGCTGCGGCCGGAGGGAGCCCCGGCCGGGGGCGGGGAGGCGGCAGACAATGTCCCGGCCCCGCCGGCCGGGCTGTGCCGCGCGGGCAGGGCAGGGCCGCCGGCCTCTCGCTCCCGGGCCCGGGGGTGCCCCGCGGGATGGGATGGGATGGGATGGGATGGGATGGGATGGGGGGTTCCTGCGGAGCGCACCCCGCGGAACCCCCCGCGCAGCCCCGCGGCTCATCCTCCATCACAGGCCGTCCCCGGGGAGCCGGTGCAGCAGCGCGGGGGGTCCAGGTGACAAAGCGATGCGGCGGCACCGCGGGCGGGGCCGAGGCGGGGCGGGAGCTCTGCCCGGGGCGCTGCGGCGGGCGCGGCATCCCCGCCGGCCCGGCCTTTGTGGCTTCGACCCCCCCGCCAGTCCGGGTGTCCCTTTGCCGAGGGAGAAGAGGGAGGGCTTAGAGAGGAGGTCAAGGGCTGCTGCTGACATAGAGGCAGCACCCCGCTTGTAGCGAATAGCCTGGTGCACTGGAAGAGAAAGACCTGGTAGCTGGGTGGGAGAGACGGCGCTTTCTGGGCTGAGCGCCTGAGCATCCCGGCGCATCGTCGGGGACCGGGGAGCTCCCACCGAGGTGTAGGGGTGGGGGAAGCCCCGAGCGGGGCGTTTTACCACGTTAGCGGGTCCGCATGTCTGTGATTTTGCAAACTTGACACGAGCTGAGCTGAACCTCGTTTTGCATGAAACAAGGATTCTGTGTGTTTGGTCCGTTTGTGGTTACGCTGTGCCTCATAAATATAACACAGCCTTTGCAGGACAGAGGTGGTCTCTTCTTGTGTGGAAACGGAGCTGGGGGAGGGATGGGGTTCCTAGGATACAAATGATATGGGTGAATAACTCTTAAGGGAAATGCAGACTCAGCCTGATTTCGTTCGAGTTCTCCATCCCTTCTTCCTCACTGCATGCTGCAAAGGTTTGAGGAAACTGTAATGCTGAGCCAAAGGTGTTGGTAGAAATGTATGGGGAAACTTAAAAGGTTGGGTTTGAATACAAATAATAGTATTTGGGGAACATTTGGAATAATACAGCTTAATTTCAGTGCAAATGGAATAAAAGAGTAATAAAGTATCCGTTGAAAAAAACCAAAACCAACCAGACTACAATACTTAGAAACTATTTGAGTCTCCAAGACGACCTGCTCTACTGGATTTTCTCTCTCTCCCCCACCTCCCCATCTAAATGTTCTCTCAGTGCTTCCTAAGTAAAGTCTCTAATATCTGTTTGATTTGAAGTAACCTGTAACAATTTTCTAGCATGCAGCTGACAAAGGGAAGAACAGACTGACAGATTCATTTGTCTTTCAAATGACAGGGTATCATGTGTTTTGTTTTCTGCCAACTTGCAAGGTTAGTGTGATGCAATACTGAAATGAAGTAATTTGTGACATAGGGAGAATCTGCACAGGAGGGATTTTGTTAGAAGACTGAAGACCAGGTAGTAAAGCAATGATTTTTTATGTCAGAAATCTTTATGTTCTTGCCATGTGCTGGAATGCTGAAGCTGTCAGAGGAAAAAAGGCTTCAGGGATAAAACGTGATTTGGTGCGTGTTGTATTGACAGTATTGATGCTGCAGTCACTTATTGCAGCACAGTACAATGCGTAAAGAAATGTCTGTGTGTGATATAGCTGAGTGTTGTGTGCAGTGCCTGCTGATCCTTGTTACAGCTTCAGTTAGCACAGCACTGCGGTACCTGCAGCTTGGTTAGTGTGAGCCTGGGTGAGATTGGTCATACCCAGGAGCTATTGCATGTAAAGCTTCTAATTATACTGACTTCTGTCATTTCTAAAGCGTTGGCTCACGACTGGGTAATGCTGGTTGAGCTGACAAGTTTTCCTTTATGATACTGTCACCCTGTGAGCTTTCAGTCCAAATGTTTAGTTTATTCCCACAGGGACAGCAGTTGGTGTTCAACAGAGCTGCCCTTCTCTGTACCTGCAAAGTCTCCCCAAAGCTTCAGTCAGCTGTAGTGAGGCCCCAAAAGGTCTCTTCTGTCCAGAGGTGTTTGTAGCTGATGTGTGTATGGTGTAAGTGGGCTTCATCCTAGTCCACAGGGCGTGACCAGGGTGTCAGTCAAACACCACTGTCACTGGGTGCTGGAAGAGGCTGCTGCAGCCTCGGATGTCAGTTCAAGTTAAAGCAGCCTCTGGGAGGCCAGTTCTGTGCAGAAGACCACAATGCTGCCTCAGCTATAAAAGACCTGATCCCTGCATGTACACGTCAAGATTTAGGATATGTTTTGCTCTCTAACTGTGTCACTGGTGGTTGGGGTTATATGGGACTTGACTGGTGTCTCATCTTGTGCTCTTTTCTGCCAAATACTTCTTTATTTCGCTGAGTGCTGTTGAAATTTTTTAGGCCCCTCCTGGATGTCATATCTGCTGTTGCAATTAAGACTGAATTTCTTTTTTTTTTTTTTTATCTTTTGAAGTTGCAGATCTGGTCAAATATTTTAAAATTTCCAGTTACTTATTCTTCTAAGCTGTTCTGGGTGATTAACTCCCTTTTGCCGTCCTCTGCTATGATTTTGCCTATTCTGTCTGTAAATGCACAAAGCAACCTTCTCTTTCTTAAAAATATACTTTTTATGTTAAAACAGAAACATTAAAGGATCCTATAATGTCAGTTTTCTGTACCTGAATAGGTTCTACCTTTTGACGATGTGTCAGATGGGATTTCACAAGTATTTGACTTCAAAAAGCACACCATTTATGGTTTTAGAAACTTCTCTGTCTGGCTGTTTTAGGCTGTTTTAGTCAGTAGGCATTGTGAAGAAGTAAATTGGCTTTTTTGGGTATTTAAAAAACCTGTGCTGGCTCTTAGTAAACAGTAGGGGAAGATGAAAGGAATGAAAAACAATGCACGCAAACAATGCTACTTTCTGTTAGGAGAATGAGAACAGTCATGACCTTAATTTGGCATGAAGCAACATGACCTTTTGGGGAGTTTGCATCTATTCCCCTTTTTATGTTCTTTAAGTAAAGTAGATTTTGGTATTTTCCATATGCAGCTTTAGTGAAATCTTTAGAGTATTTTGTCTATCCACAAATTACTTCAGTTCTTACTTATTCAGCTGCTGTACGGCACTTGTCCCTTCCCCATTAAACAGCCTTGGCCAGTGGAAAACAGAAATGGGTGAAACTCCAGGTTGCATCAGTATTGCACTTGCTTGTTCAGCTGTATTTCTGCAATGAGAGAGGTACCACGAGGACTTGAAGTCTGTTCCAGCAATGAGCTCTGAAGTCCATTGGTCGTGATTGTAAATGGTACGCTTGCTTCACAAATGTTTTACTGAAGAGTGTGCAGATGTTTGGTGCTGTAAGGTCACAGATGTTGGTGTTGAGCTGAGGGAATGCTGCTGCCAAGTACAAACCTCAGTGGTCTGAAATGCCTGTGACATATCTGCAGGCTTCATCATCCTCACTGTGACAAGTGTCCTGGCTCCTGGGTCATTAAATTGAAACTGCCTTTTCTCAGTGACCAGGCACATTTTTGATCTTAAAAGAACATTCCATAACTCTCATTACTCAAAAATATCTCAGCTCTGGCTCATGTGTTGTACTTTTAAGAGTCACAGTGATATGCATTTAAAATAAACAAATGCAAGTTTTAAGTATTGCCATAACTGCTGTTAAAACAGTGACGTTGCAGTGTTTTAAAATTAGTACAGCAGTGGTTAGCTGTGTAAGTAATCAGTATTAAAACAGGAAATTCCTTCAAAGGCTGTCTCAGAGGGATTTGAGAAAGGTTTTCATGTAAATGAAAAGGAAAATGCAGTCAGTTCTAATAAGTAAGCAAATGAATAAATGAAAATACTCAGAATACGAAGGCCAGCATTCAGCCCAGAAAGCCTTTATTCTTCACTAAAGACTTGACAAAATGCCCTTACTCAGGACTGCATCAGGGTGTGTCAAGGACATCAGAGAGTGGCTGTGTTGGTGTGCCCTGCCATCAGCACCTTGTGCTCTGCTCCCGGGCGACAGTCACTGGGTGCTCACTGGCCCCAGGATTGATTTGCAGGGCTCTGGGTGGATCAGTTCTGAAGACATCTGAATTTGCAAGAACAGGAGACCTGGAGAAGGTTTTTCTTTTAGCTGTTTCTTATGTCTGTAGTTCTGAGTCAGTCCCTGAGTCAATACTCTCAGACTGTGCTCTGCAGATGCAGTTTCTGAGGAACATTGAGAGAGATTTCTAGTAGTTGTTATCAGTTTGAGTCCAACAAAGTGTGTATTATGTGAATGTAGTTCCATAATAGCAGTTCCATGCCATCTGAGGGAGTTAATCCACTTCCCATCTATGAAGAAAATCTGTTTCTATTGTGGGAGCCTGCCCAACCTGCATTAGTTTCCTTGGGGAAGAGACCAGAGAGAAATTATTCTCTCTATGCTACTTCCTTATCCCATAAGGATATCTGGGAATACTGCTTCAGTTTGTCCGTTTTTGGATACATCTTGTGTTCTCAGTGTAATTCAGGATCAGTGTCTAGGGTTGAAGTAGTTTCTCTCCAAGGGTTTTGCAGTCCTAAGCACTCTATATCCCCCTGTCCTGACACAGCCTTTCTTTGAGAGGTTCCATGTGTTTGTATCCACACTTTCTCTTTTTCCTGTTCCCTATGAGGTTGCGAGACGGAATATTCGGGTGTCTCTTTCCTCATTACAGGGTTTTTGATGTTTTTCTCTGTCAAGAGAAAATAACTGTCCTTTAGTACATCCTTGTCTCCTCTGTGTCATTGTTTGGGAAATGTGACTGTTTGGTCTTGTGGATTTATCATTGTTTGAGGACTCAATGCTTCCTCCACATTTAAAGATCAAGGCTAGGCTGACTGTCAACTAGACCCATTCCCTGGTGCCAAACAGATACAA